GTCCATAAAGCCACTCCATGTTAGTCAACAAAGGATGGAAAAGAGGTTTGGTTTCTAAACTTAATTCACTATTCCGTTTATTTCTTATGAAGCTCTTTCTATTATAAATCTATGGCCCTGAAGCACTACATAACAGAAGATCCACTCGACTGGAAAAAGATATGGTCTTCGATTCTCATTGCTTCTAAAAAAAACCAGACCACATTCAAAGGACCTACTTACTCCGAGGACGGGTAAAACAGTTCATGAAACAGTTATCATCTCCAATAATTGCACCTTGTGCCAGATTGGATGCTCTTACATGTATATGTATTTGGAATGGATGGATGTGAGGTTTTATTGGGGCGAGGTTTGTGCTACTATTGGATGTAGCTGTGCCATGCTCTCCACTGTGCTACCCTTGTATGATACCACCTGACTAATATGATCATGTTGAACAGTTGTATCTTATTAACGGGCATTACTGCTGCTAAAAAGATGCTGGCGTTATTTTGAAAATCTCCACATGAGTTTGAGACCCCAATGGATCAATACGTCAATTAATATAATTAATAAGAACTATCAGTGGTGTTGGAGCTGGTACTATTACAGCCTTTTAAGTGATGGCAAGTAAGGGATGACTTGCTGAGCTGCCTCTCCCAAGTATTTGTTGTTTTCCTATGTCTACATTTTTTTGGGAAGAGTTTTTCTTTGCCGTATTAAAGCTATTATTAGAAAGAACAGCTCAGCCCAAAAGAACAAGAAGCAATAACACATTGGATTGAAATACAATTATTTTAACAATCAAAGAAACCAAATAACTGGCTTGATTGCACTGTAATTATTTCCTGACTAAGCCAACATAATGTGTCTCAGTTTGACTTGCATTACATTGTTGAAATACCTCAATATAAGCTAAAGTGGCATGATTACATGAGCTGCTTGGCGTTCAGTGGACATGTTTGTCCCGTACACCCATGTATTGCTGTGGTGGTTTGTTTTATTTCCCTTTAATTGATAGTGACAGCAAAGGAGAGGAAGAGGAAGGCATGACACACAGCAAAGGGCCACAGGTCAGAGTCGAGCCAATGGCCCTGCAGCAAGGATTCAGCCCCGGCACACGGGACGAGAGCTCCACCAGGTGAGCTATCAGGGCGCCCCAGGAAATTTTACAAATTTGATTGGTGTACTTGTTATGTTAGTGAACAATCTGATTTGTGAGCATTGAGGTAATGCCAAGTGAGAAGGGGAGGGACACCACAGAGTGATTTAAAGGTTAAATGATTTCTTTTAGGTTTTCAGTGTTTATAGGTGCCCACCTCTGGCCTGGTGATGAACTGCAATCAAATGTTTTGTTCATTTGCTCAATCAAGAACATACATGCACACACAAACAAAAAGATTTCCAACTCCCCGAGGATGATGGCTTAACAAATGAAGTTGCAAAGGAAGCACATTCCATTCAGGGAAGCCGATTAATCTCCTGTGTTTCATTAACCTGCACCTTGAGCTCCCCAAGGCATAAAACATAGTGTTGCTTTTTGGCTTCGCGAGGGCCTAGTAGGAATTATCTTACCAGATCTTAGCACGAAGACACCTCTGCTGTCAGTTTTCTGTCATGATGACACAGGTAGGATCGCCTTCTTCCATTGGCCCCATGAAGGAGTGTCTTACGTTTGCTAACTGCACCTGCAAAGACCAGTGGGGTGATTACACTGGTGCCTAACATGTTGGCAGCATGCTGGAGGATGAAAACTGAATTATCTTCACCTGGCACACATTAAGTTGAAGATGGAGTGTGCTTAAGGACTTTATATCAGCTGATAAAACTGCTTTTTAGACAGGTTGTTGAGACAATGGCTACAATCAACAGCCCCATGGAGAATTCTGGAGACACAAAACATGTGGGGATGGGACTTCATGTCTCTGTGTCCCCCGCACAAACTGCCTTCTACACCATCCTGGTGATGCTGGGCATCCTGGGTAACGCCACTGTGGTCGGGGTGATTGGTCAGAGTGTAATAATGGACCGTGGTGGAGGACGTAACTCGGACATCATTATCATTAACATGGCACTGTCTAACCTAATGGTGTCTCTGATGAGGAACACACTGCTTGTCATCTCAGACATGGGACTACAGGTACTATGTGCTCTTTAAGATCAATAATGTTTTGGATAAATGAGTCATCCTTTAGTTAGTTTGGAGGGTATGGGGATTTGACTTTCTTGCACCACATACATTACTGTTTGTCTATGCTAAAGTGTAGATTTTTGACAAAGTTTTGTCTTTCACAACAAACCCACAGTAGCTGGAAAGTTAAGAGGTGAATTAGATGTCAAGCAGAATATCAGTGAAGAAAACTCTTGTGAATATTCACCTGTCTTTCTTTTACAGCTGTACTCATCCAAAGAGTGGTGTCAGTTTCTCATGGGTGTCTGGGTGTGGCTGCGATCTGTCAACGTGTGGTCAACACTCTTCCTCAGTGCGTTCCACCTCCAGACATTGAGGCGTGTGGCTCCAGTTATCGGGAACCTTCACGGGGCTCGGGGCGCTCCTAAGACCCTACTGCTAATTCTGGGCCTCATCTGGCTTCTCAATTTTATTTACTCCATTCCTGCTCATATCTTTTCTACCAGTGGGAACGAGAACAGCACAGAGGTAAGAGGCTGCTGCAGCAGAAGGTTGCAAATAAATTTCATTAGGAGGTAATTTAGTGCAGAGTTTAAAAATAAACTATCACACGATAAAACAAAATTGAGGAAAAAGACTTGATTTTAAAATTGACAGCTCAAGAAAAGATAAATGGAAACCAACAGGTGTCTAGAACAGTTGGAAAATATAAAAAATAAAATACATCAAAAAATCTAAAACTGTATATGATGCTTTCAGAAAATGGTCAGTGAAAATGTTGCATTATATTTAAAAGAGTTAAAGCCAGTAACACCACATTTTGTAAGAACTTGACAAAATGGAATTCATTTTCCATTTAATATATAATTACACTTGCATGTTGTAACTATTGTCCCCATATTGTGGGGTAATTACAATTTCCCCATTATATATAATAAATGATTACATATTGTGGTGGTTATTAAAAAATGTAGGAGTTGCATATTTTCTTGTCTGAGCTGGATTTTGAATAAGCTGAAGCTTTTTGTTGGGTTTTTAGGGTTCCAATGCAGTAATCAACCCTGCTAGAAATAAAAGCGTGAATGAGTGCTTCGGTTCGGCATCTGACATAAAATCCTTGAGTTTGGTTGTATTTGTAAGATGATAACAAGCTGATCTTGTTACTGCTTTTATGTTGCTGTTTAGATTAAGGTCAGACTATAATGCCTCAGGTCATGTAAGAGTCTAATTTAATATTTGGGCAGTTTAATTTAGGTTAATTGTTAAAAATATGAGGTGTACAGATATTATTATACATTTTCATCATAAAAAAGTGCAACTTGTAATAACCACCACAATATGTAATTTTTTTACTACAAAACATGGGGGAATGTATTACATTTTGCATTCATGCTGTGTATTACAAAAGGATTTATTCCATAATGTGTCGTTACAGTCCTTTAAAGTTTAGCGAAATCGTTTCCCCAAACCAAACTAATACTTATTGCTATGTTTTACGATGTTTATTGTTTTATTCTATATATTTTCATTGATGCTGGTAGTTTGTGTTGTCTTTACCCTGTAGAAGCACTTTGTAAGGTGCTATATAAATAAAGTTTATTATTATTATCATTATATACACACAAAATGATTTATAGTAAAATTGATTAATAAGTCATAAAAATAAAATAAAATAGTATTTTGAATGATGAAGTGCTGAGGATGAATTAAGCAGTCTCACAGCCTGAGAGAAGAAGACAGCAGCAAAACCTCCTGTACGTCTTTCATTAGTGTATAATCAGCTTAAAATAAGAATTGTTGTGTTTTCATTATCTTAGAATGACCCTTTCATATCTACAAACGATGTGGGTTGCCTTCCATGGAGTCCGCCATGTTGAACTGCCATGTTACAGTGGCCCAGAATGGTCTCTGGCTCTGGCTCTAGATAGGGGCATTTGCGTTTTTCATATCCTTCGGGGCCACCGTAGTTTCCATATTGTGCTTGGAAGGTGAGGGTGAAGCAAGGGAGTTCCAAGCGATAGAGGCCACTAAATCCTAGACACTGGACCTTTAATCTGAGAGTGAATTTAAGATCTGACATAGTTCAAACAGATTAGCAATTCACTATTTGTAGGAGTCAAATATAGATGTGTTCTTTCTGCTTTCGAAAGGAAAAGAATACCTCTGCCCTAAATTGCTGCCGTTATACATTGTGTGGCTTCACCATCCTGTTTCCTCCATGTTTTGACTCCACCTCCTCTATCTCTCCGCCTCGCTCTTTTCCTCAGACCCTGATTGCCTGGTGAGCACCACAACACGCCCCCTGCTGGGCTGTGTGGGAACTTTCGCCTCCTAGCTACAGTGCCCCTGCCTATGCACCACATTCTATGGTGATTCAT